AGCAGTAAGCTTCATATTCTTGGCTGTGTGCCTGTCCATTTTGGATATTTACATACTCTCTAAAGACTGGTCTTCAAAATGAGGAGGCTAAAGTTTGAATCTTTGTTTTGTAGTGATGTTTATGTTTAGCTTATACTCCCAAAAAAACTTACTTTCTTTTTTGGTTTGTCCTAAAATAAAGTTCCATTCTATTTAAGGAAAGCATTGACTGGACATTATTTTTCTCTTCTCTGCGTACATTTTCACTTTTTTTACAACTTCTGTTAAACTCCGTGAAAAAATGCAAAGATTAATATGGTTCAAAGGGAGTGTTTTGATATATGTTTCACTTTCATACCTGTTGAGTCTCAAATTAACTAAAGAAATGATGTTCATCCTATTTGCAGAGAGTGTGGACTTGAAGTGCAAGCTGTAGGGATATGGCTTTCAGGGTAGCCACACTAAGGATCTTCTTCGCACATTGTTACAGTACTTGTGAGTCACTAAGATCATTTCTTAATTTCTATAATTGCACTCTCTCATGGATTAAAATTAAACCAATCATGAACTTGATCATCATATTAGTGAGTTGAACTTTCTTGTTTTACTGGATTGAGTGATACGCTACGAAAAAAATTAGGTTTGTTACTTTTTCCCAAATTTCAAACTTTTTTCCCAATTATTGATGGATACATTGAATTTGATATCTCCCTTGCATGATTGATGGATACACCAAATTTGATATCTCTCGTGCATGGTTGATGGATACACTAAATTTCATATCTTTGCTGTGTTTATCAATCCAACCCTCTGTTGTTTGTTCGTAGTCTGCGCATTCTAAGGCTGAGATTAGCTATGCAAGGTTGATCAAAGAGGTGAAAATTTCATGCAGTAAGGTATGCATACTCCCATCCCCCGACCCCGTTTGTGTAATTTTACTGGTATGGTGTTCTTGTTACGAAACTCGGTCTATCTTTTGTTGTTTTTTGGGGCCTCAAATCATCAATCTCGTTTTGAATTCATTGTGGTTAAAAAACAGCAGTAAGCTTCATATTCTTGGCTGTGTGCCTGTCCATTTTGGATATTTACATACTCTCTAAAGACTGGTCTTCAAAATGAGGAGGCTAAAGTTTGAATCTTTGTTTTGTAGTGATGTTTATGTTTAGCTTATACTCCCAAAAAAAACTTACTTTCTTTTTTGGTTTGTCCTAAAATAAAGTTCCATTCTATTTAAGGAAAGCATTGACTGGACATTATTTTTCTCTTCTCTGCGTACATTTTCACTTTTTTTTACAACTTCTGTTAAACTCCGTGAAAAAATGCAAAGATTAATATGGTTCAAAGGGAGTGTTTTG